CCCCAAAACCCCAAAACCCCAAAACCCCAACATATACATTACTATTAAAGGTTTTATTTAAAATATTGGGTAAATTTGGTTTCTACAGCTAAAAGGTGCTCGTTCTAGCTACAGTATTGTAAGATTTGTCATGAAACCTTCTCTCTATAAGCATTCTGGGGAGACCCTTGCTTTCTCTAGCAAAGACAATTATTAAAAAGAAAAGAAGCATAGATGCTCCACTGAATAAGAAGAAGAAAATTCCAACATTCTCGATTCCATCAGTGAAAGGATTTGGAGATGATTTTATATAAATTGCAATAGTTGGCAAAGCAGAGATGACTGTGTATAACCCCCAATTTACACAGATTGCCATTCACATTCCTTTATCGTTTAGAATTTCTGCTGAGTATACCCATGTGAATGGGCCTATTGTAGTTGTGAATACTATTGCAAAAACTATCACCAAAACTGTGCTCATTGTCCTTGCTACATGTTTGTAGCGTTCATCTTCTGCTTTAGGATCTTCAAATAGTTGAAATAAGAATCAATTTAAAGCACAGGCAATTATTGTAGCAATTAGAACAACCGGTTTTCTTCTAAATATTTTTGCAAAGTAAACTCCAACGAAAGACATAAAGAAATTTATAAGAGCAAGTATTAACCTCCAGGTGAGCCTTTCTGGTCCTATTTTCAATTGATAGTAATAAGAATAGGAGAATATCAGATTCACTCCACTAAAATGAAGGAAAGCATGCATCAAACATCCAGCAACCAAAGGCCTAATTCCTTTAGAGGAAAAGATATGTTGATAAGACTCAGTATCAGACTCAATAGAGTGAGTTGAGGTCTCTACTGTATGAGATCCAGTATAAATACTATAAGAACAATTCTTCTCCTCCTCCTCTTCTAGCCTAAAGCTATAAAATTTCTTCATGTCTTTTCTTCTATCAAAGTTTTCAATAGTCTGAAGTGACGACCGAATGCTATAGTCTTTATGAACCTTTTTAGCATTAAATTGGTTCTCGAAACATCACATAAGTCCAATAATTTGTAACACTGATAGTATAAGAGGGAAGCTGAGTACAATTCTCCATCCAATATCATCAAACTTAGTTATACGTCAATAATAATCCAATCCGAGTTTAATTTTGATTTCTGGAATTAAGAATCCGACAAACATTCAGGTAAGGAACCCAAGACTATTAAACACATTAATAAGAGCAAGGTAGGGACCTCTATGTTCAGTTCCGCCTATATCTCTGAGTAAAAGAGGGGCTGTTCATCAGATAATTATGATAGATATTGCTTTAGCCACTCTTCCTAACACCAGCAGTATGAAATAAGGAAACAAATTGATAATACTTCCAATAATCATGATGAGATTAGCAACTATAAGAGTGTTCTTATTTACCCATTCGAAACATTATCCATACGAAGGGAGCAATTATCGCTGCTACAGCTGATCCTATTATTCGTGCTTCTGTATTCCTTGCTCTGGATTTGGCATGATCGAAGCCGTAGATGCAAGGACTTATGTATCTTATCTGGCTTAGCTCATTTAGGAAATATCCCATTCCAAAAAAGTGTAGTGTTATCAAAACTGCTCTCATATGCTTCATGATATTTGACATTTTATATTTAATATCAATTAAGACTCTGTGGGGTTTTGGGGTTTTGGGGTTTTGGGGTTTTGGGG